GGGGAGCAGCCAATGCCGCAGTTTAAAGAGCACATATGAACGGGGGGCGCAGACCACCACACACCGCAAGAGTAAAATTTAGGGAGGAGAGGCAGCAGGCCGCCCCGACATATTGCATATTGATAAGCATACTGATGGATATTGATGAGCCCCGTAGGTAGTGCGGAACATCCTGATAAACTACCTCAAAAGCGCCTAAAACGCTTGTTTTGGCCAAATTTACGGTTTTCCACCTTTTTGTCTATCTGTATCTCCTAAGTTAGGGCCGGTACTAATATTTTCGTTGCCTGATTTCGAAAGAGCTCGTCGAGGACTATCTATGGGGCTTGAGTAACCTAAACAATTCGAATGTGAAGTCAGTCGGTCTGCAAAACGTTGAAATTCGATACGTAAAAGACACTAATTTAGGGCAAAATTTGCATAAGAAGTTGAAATATTGCAATTCCACTAGCAGGAATGGGTCGTGTTACGCTTAGAACAGTAGCCGATTGCCCTCCTGGACAGTCCTGGCTCCAGAAAATGCCAATTTTCGATATTTTAGTCAAAACACCCAAAATAAAGCCTTCAAAACCTTCAAATGCTCATATCTCCGGAACCCTTTGAGCTATACAGCGCCCAGAAGAATCAGGGAAAGGGGTCTTTTTAGGGACTAACTTTGGGAGATAGAGCCAACAAATGCGGAGAGGGTTCGATGCGCCCTAACGAAAGAGTCCGATCTGCTTTGCTGCTGAACCAAAAGAGTCCGATCTGCTTTGCAGCGAAACCAAAAGAGTTCGATCTGCTTTGCTGCCAAACCAAAAGAGTTCGATCTGCTTTTCGGCGATGGAACGTCAGGCATCTTTGGAGGGCTAAACTCCTCGGATATTTTGAATATACACAAAATAAAAAGACTTGCTTGTTATCCTAACCTTTACGAATGTGTATACCCTAAAATACATACACTATTCCTTTCAAGCTTCGAGATATCATAGAGTTTATGCGGAGCGGTCGACGAGCGCCGAAGGCAGATCGGACTCTTTTGGTTTGGCAGCGAAGCAGATCGAACTCTTTCGGTTTGGCAGCGAAGCAGATCGGACTCTTTTGGTTCAGCAGCAAAGCAGATCAGACTCTTTCGTTAGGGCGCATCGCGGTTGATGTGAATCGTGAAAATCTAGTTTGGATTGTCACAACATCGAGTCTTCAAATCGTGCTAGAAGGATTTTGTTTCTTGATGTATCACTTGCATTTTAAAACCAAATTTTAAAATATGATCAATTCCCATTTATTAACTTGAAATCAGGCGCATTTAACAGTAATCATTACAACGACGATTTAATTCAAACACATTACGAAGCTTGTATTATACAATAGATTATAACGGAATGTAAACATTATTTTTGAGATTTAAAAAGATGTGGTACGAATTTATTAGAAAGTCATTCACGGTGGTGGGGACGGAGTCAGAAGAAAGTAGCGTCCCTGCTGAAGCACCCCGCCAGCCTGAACTCGTCTCGACGATGCAGGGCGTACATGCGCTGCGGACAGGTCCTGGAGGCGGCGCTGGGCCGGGGCGCGCACACCCGCATCACCACCTCTTTGGTGTCGGCCGCCGGGAACGAGAATGTCTTTCCTGACTCTGAGCGCCCAGGGGCACCAGTGCTCGCGTCTGAGAGCATCTGCGCCGTCTACAAAACCAGGAGCGAAAACAAAACAACATGAGGAGGAGTTCTTTAGGACGAGGGGGTAGAAACGAAGCGCTCAGGCCGTTTGCCTGTATTCTTGAAGTTGTTTGATATTTTCACCAACCGCATGAGCGGTATCACGTGAAAGGGGAGAGTTCGAACCTTGCCAAGGTATCTTTATAATCCACCTCCGCTTTCATTTGGCCAAGATTATTTGATTATAGTGAACCTACAGGCCACCCGGAGGCCCTGCCGGTGCGCAAACAAGACAAATGTAATCGAAGCCATTGCATTGCTAAACGAGTGCTGAACTAACGAGATTACTAAACCAGCTTTCGAATAGGATAGGTGTCCTTTCGGTGGATTGCAAAGGTACCTTGGTAAAGTTCGAAATCTCCCCTTTCGGGCGATACCCCTCATATGGTTCGTGAAAATATCAAACAACTTCAAAAAGTGCGGAGAAGACATGCGTGTGCTCGACCGGCTGGCGCGGGGAGACGGACAACTCGCCCCATCCAAGTCGCCCCATGGTACAAGTCGCCCCTAGGCTAACTCGCCCCGATTTTGGGGCTGGGGCGAGTCGCAGACTTGTGCCATCTCGCCCCAGTCAAATATTTTTGTCCAATTTCTATTTGAATATTGCTGGGCATTGTTAAGCGTCCCTCCCCTTGAAAGCCGAAGTCTTCTCTGGCGGCCACAGAATTGTGGACCACACCAAAAAATGGTCTAACTGAATTAACGCAGAATTACTTAGATCAATGGAAATTTAACAAATGGAAGATATGATAATTTTTCCACAAATTTAAGCGATTTTCCATTACCTAATAGGATATTTTCCCTAGAACCAATAAAATTCCGTCGAGTCGAGGGAAAAATTGTACAACATTTTCTCCCCATTGAATCAACCGATTATAGCAACCAATTATATATATAGAAGTTCACATTCCTTGTAAAAAACTGATTTCAACTGGGGCGACTTAGCGTTGGGGCGACATGGGTACGTGGCGAAATGGTCATGGGGCGACTTTATACCGGGGCAAGTTAGACTGGGGCGAGTTGTCCTAGATCCCTGGCGCGCGGCCCAGGACGCGCATAGCGTTTTTACCCCCTATTGGGGCTTGACGTGGTGACGAGAGACATAGATGGAGAGAAATAAGATCAAGGTTTCACAACTAAACTAAACGTTATTGGTGGTTAGGCGTGTTGCCCGATGATATCTTGAATTGATTGTGAAAATTCGCTCAGTCAGCCAAGCCAATACATTGACTGGTATATGGATAGACAAGCACATACACAACTGTAACCACTGTATTGACTGCTCTACCAGTCAATGTATTGGTTGACTCAGCGAATCTTTTTAGACAGTCCCTTGTGCCTTGTGGTCTGTCTTTACCCGAAGATAAAAGTTTCCAGTAAAGATGGCAGATTAACGTTCCAGTTTTGATAAGGCAATCCTCAAAATTATAACCACCGCGCTCTGAAATATGAAATGTGCTTGTTTTTTGTTTTCGCGCACGCAGAAATTACGAATCCAGCAAAATTTGAATGGTGATTCTAGCATAATTTGCTGGTTTTCGTTGTTTTTGATTTTAACCACAACTTTCCGTATCATGAAAAAGCGCTCCTTGGTTGAAAGTATCCAGGTTTGATAAAGGTCGCCGTTGTCGGCTATTCCCGATTAACGTTCCGGTTTTGATAAGAAGATTTTCAGTCTTATTTTGATGCCGTATTGAATTTAAAGATACAAGTCTTAGCGCCTGTGTATTTTGAATTTGCTTCTGGAGCTAGTTACCGGCCGGAAGGCCAGTTGTTTTTTTTTCGTGCATACTGTAAAATGCATTGGTTCTGGAGATTATTTGTTTTGAGAATACTACCAATCGCAGGGACATGAACTAAACATCCTCTTATTGGTAATGAATTAAGGTACACTTAGACGTAAATGCAAAAGTTGTATTCTCCTTCAGGAACATGGTCTTCTGCTTTGCCTTGAAAAGAATGTATACACTTCTTTGTGGCCTAAACGATTCCAGCCGGACGGATGGACCAGCGACAGTGAAAAAAGAATGTCACTTACTTTAAAAAGCTGCCTCAATACCGTGACGAGAGTGATTTTCGATGAGCCACAGCCAAGGTATTAAAACTAGGGAAAACGTTTTCGATTTTCCATCCAAATTTTTAATAAAAAAAATTTGGCATGTTTTTTGTTTTTTTTAATGTTAGAACTTTAAAATTTTAAAATCTCTCTCGTCACACCATAGAGGTATCTTTTAAAAGTAACTGACACACTGTCGCAAGTCCATCCTTTCGGCCAGAATTGATCGTGCAAGCCATCGAGTAATGTACCCGTCTATGGTTAATGCCGAAGAGAAGAAGACCATGTTCCCGAGGGACTACTCTCTCTGCTACATTTCAAATTGTAGCCCAATTCTTCATTTATTAGAGATTAGAGGGTCTTTTGTCCGTTTCCCTGTGATTCGTGGTTTTTATTTGATAAATAATCTCCCGAACTCTAATTACACAGGTCTTCGCTTTAAAATTAAGGAGCAAGCACTCTTAGTTCCTTACAAACAGCGGTGTTCGTATTACGAAGAATTTGTTTGTAACTTACAAAGGATCTAAAGCAGCCATATTACGAACGATTTTCCTTCATAATTTGCCATACACCGCATACACCGCCCATTCGTAATAGGAAAAGCCTCGTTTGTCATACAAACCAGGCTCTTCGTAATACAAACAATTTGTTTGTAATACGTACAAATGCTCCAAATCATTTGTACGTTACGAGGAGCAGTTGTTCGTAAGGAACTTACAGTGAGGATTGTGATTGAGGAAACTGGACGTTTCGGTGCGACATTTGAACCAGATATTGAGGTATAATAAGGATCAGGCTAGAGGGAGCCCCTGATGCGGGGATGTCATTGCGCTCCTTAGAAAGGTGTGCGACCGGACAATTACAAGCAGTTGTAGCAATATGACCAAAAAATAAACAGCTTAGAGAAACCACAAAATGAAGACAGAGCTAACATTAAAATTGCCGTGCGAAGTACAATTCGGTTCTATCCAGTGGCAAACTGTTGTCTCAAACTTCTCTATACAATTGTACATTATAGTACGACCACCCTAGGAAAGAGCCTGGCGGAGCTAGTGTTGCTGCAGCGGTGGCTCGCCTACCTCCGAGCAGTGAATGCGTTTCGGCGGTAGCTGAGGAGGCAGTAGTTAAGAACTGCTTCCATAAGCCAGGGTCTTTCCTAGAGTGGTCCCAGTAGTATAGTTACCGGCAGCTTTAGACGCGCATGGTAAAAGTAAAGGCAGCGGAATACCTACCATCTGAGCCTCGGAGAACATAGTCCTGATGTTGCCGCCGATGCGGCCGCGGGCGCCCCCGGGAACAGTCACCTCGCGCAGCTCCAGCAGGGCAGTGAGGAAGGCCACCATCTCGTCGGAGGCGTCCGGACCCGGGCACAGCTTGCAGCGCAGCGAGCGCGCCGTGCAGATGAGTCTCTCCGCGTCCTCCAGCTCAGCCACCAGCCTCTGCGGCAGCCAAACAGACGCGCGTGTAGGATGGGCTGCCTACCCTGTGGAGCCTGCTGCGGCCGGTCGGGCGGTGCGGCTCACCTGGTATGTCTGCAGGGACGGCTCGGGCTCCCTGCTGGCAGCGACGGCGTGGCGCACCAGCGCGTCGGCGGCCGGCTGCAACCCTGGCAGCTTCCCGAGCAGGCTGTCGGCGTGCACTTCGGCCAGGGTGCGCAGCGCGCACGCGTGCGCCAGCGCGGGAAGGAGGGCGAGCGCAAGCGCGCGGGCGGAGAGGCCCTCGAGCCAGGCGAGGACGCCCTCCGCGGACCGGGTCTCGTCGAACAGCCTGTCCACCTGCTTGCGCGCGGGCACGGGCTGCGCCATGGACCACAGCTGCACCCACATGTTGTCCTGGAGGCGCATGCGCGCGCTCAGCTCGCCCCGGCGCTGGCCCCACTCGTCCAGCTTATCGGGGTCCTGGTCCTCCACCCAGTCCCCCGGCGAGTACCAGCGCACAAAGTCCTCCAGAATGCCGTCGGGGTTGGCCGCCTTAAAGGACTGCATGTCCGAGCGAGTGACGCTGCACGAGTACAGGTGCACCTTCCCCTCAGAACCACCCACCGGGGCGTCCAGCGGCGGCTCCGACTCGACCTCGTCCTCCGTCTTGGGCACAAGGTCCTGGAGGAGTACAGGCAGCGGGTTAGTCCGGTAGCGTGCCTCTCCTGCACACGATGAGATGACTCGCGAGGCTCACCTGCGTCACGGGGATGTACAGCGGGCCGCCCGTCCTGAGCAGCTTTAGAGATGGATGCGCGTGCTTGCGACCTTCGGGCTCCGAGTTGTCGCTCGCGTCCACCATGTCCTGCTCCTCCGTCGCCGTCGTGTCGCAGTCGAAAAACTCGTCTTCACCGTCACCATCGGATTCTACGGCAAGAAAATAAAACAAAATGGCTTATTTCTGCCTATGGCACACTATTGTGTGTGTATTATAAAACAGGGAGAACGAAACCACAAAAAAAAAAAAAAAATCTGGTGTGCCAGAGTCTATGGAAAGGGGCAATTTCTGTACCAAGGTTAGATGCGTCTTTGAGCACATCTTCATCAGATACACATTTCCAATAAGTATCACACAAAATTTGTGATAAAAATTCCCCAGGAGTAAATAAATCATGGGAATCACACAGGCTATTTTATCACACGAAAATGTGTGTGGGGATTTAAAAGATTGGAAGGAATTGGAGGGATTCGAGACGGATTGCAAAGGGATTGCTCTAGTAAGCGTGAAGGGATTTTCGAAGTTATGCACCCCTCGAGTTGTAGGCGTCCCTCGTTTGTGTTTTTTCGTGGCCGGCGAGGCACATCCTGGATGGCGGGGGCCAGCGTACACACGGACATTAGGTGCCCAAAACGGGCAGAGCAGGAGGAGAAGCCCCGACCCGCAGGGAGCGCGAAAGCGAGCCGGGCATTCTGTCACGCTGCGTCCCGTATGTGCTTCGTGCCCGCGGACGCGTGCGGGGGCGGGGGG